TCACTCGTGTCATCCCTACATAGAGCGTCTACCGACGCTCTGATACGACAAACTGGCAGTGTATACGGGTAAGTATATACGGTTAAAATACGGGACTGGAGACGGATGACGTTAGAGTTAACTTGTGTGAAGGGTCTGGGGCACCAGACTAAGTCCAGTGCCTCCAAGTATACGGATTTTCCCGTATTTTTACGGAAATCGCACTCCATATACAGGAAAGGAATGGAACACAAGAGTGCTCAAGAAGGTATTATATACGACAAACTGGCAGTGTATACGGGTAAGTATATACGGTTAAAATACGGGACTGGAGACGGATGACGTTAGAGTTAACTTAACCTGGAGGCTCTCGCGGGGCCGGACGTTCCGGCGCGGATATTATGCACCTGCATACTAGGATTTTAAAAACTGGATAGTAGCTAAACCGACCTGTAAATGGCAGCGATGGCGTCAAACGTAATGATAAGTGTGACATTTCTATTGATGACGGTTCTGACTGCTGACTGCACGCCATCTCCTCCACTGAATGGTAAAAAATCTGCTCTAACTCGCCAGACTTTATATCGTACGTAGCTGCAGGGAACTTTGTTCAGTGTTTTGCTTCCACTGATTGTTCTGGTAGTCCGTCATCTATCACTGCCACTGCCAAACAGTGTTGTATTGGTAGTGATGATTCCTTGTCTTACATGACTCCTGATGGCTGTAACAGGTGTATTGGTGAGACAAGCATGATGCATCGATACGAAGTTAATTCTCAAAATGTTTCAGTTCATGGTTTTAGGAAGGCAAAATTCGATATTACTGAAGGACAGGATGGAAATATTGAGTTTCTCAAGAATGTGAAGGGACAATCACGTTATGGGAGACTAGGACTGCCTCTCTTAGGAAATATCACGTCCACAGCAGTAACTGCAGGTAAAACACATTGTGTCATAGCTCTGTCTACAGTGTGACCTCCTGTGTATTATAGGGGCCAGTGATTTCAGTGACATTGGGGTGATAGAAACTGACAACGAAGGACAGGCAGTCTTTGCTATAACTGCCAATGATGACGACACAGTATTAGAGAGTATTGAAGCTGTGAGACTGAGGTTTACACCATTCTATACCCAATTCACGGAAGAGCTAGAGAGTGTTGGAGAATACATTAGAGACATGGCATATGTACACATTACTGACAATGATGGTGAGTCTGAGATTTTAAACGTATATGGGCTAAAGCTGATATCTATTTAGGTGACCCTTGTTTTCATTGGGTTCACTCTGGGGCAGTACACTGTCAGTGTGAAGGTGCCTGTTCTGTTCGTTGACTTTTGTGTCCTGTTTTCTGTGTGCCTAACACGTACTTTGACATCCATTGTGTCTCCTGCTAACAAGACGAAACTCCTCCTTACTCATGCATTCTTAGCATGCCGTCTGTATTCCTGCTTGTCTGCCTATATGTTGCTTAGTGTTTGCCCCCTTTTCTCTTCGTCCCTCCCTTCCCTGATCTGGAA